ATTTTTTTATGTTAATCCAAAGAGTTATTTTTTTCAGTGTTGGGCATTCTCCTGTTAGAACTAGGATGTTCACCCTTCTCTCTCACCATGTCTTCCTGGTCCTCAGGGGCTGTGAAGTACCTGGAGTGCTCCGCACTGACCCAGCGAGGCCTGAAGACAGTATTTGACGAGGCCATCCGAGCCGTGCTCTGCCCTCCACCAGTGAAGAAGAGAGGGAAGAGATGCACCATGTTCTGAGGAAGAGGCACTGCTGCAACACCACATCATCATGAAAAACACACACACTTTCTTTGAGAGAATGAGAGCTAAAACTGGTGAGAGTGAGTGTGCAGTTCAGTGATTGCTTTCTGTAGTCTTTTTTTATTTTTCAGGACCATATTGGTTAGATGACCAACATTCATTTTTTTAACCATTCCTGAATAAGATGGTAGGTTCCCTGTAAATGGCACTGACTGTCCGTCTCCGTTGTACTGTTGCCAGGAGGACTGCAGCTTTCCACAACCGTCTTTCTACTGCTCTCTTCTCTCTCAGCCATGCTTGCTTAAATTAACGCAGTGGTAATTACACAGAACGTCAGGTGTTGATATGTTCAAGGTTGAAGTTACCCTCAGCTCCCTGTCTATGATCAGCTCATTCAGCACTGAAAACCTTCTGGCTGCTAATGCTGCATTCCAGTTACCACGGAAGACAGAACTTAGAGCTGGGTTTGACGTCAGACCTGGCATTCCAGTTAGAAAGTCGGGATTTGAACATGGCAACGCTCATAAACATTGTTCACAGTATCTCTTACAAACATCGTTTTAAGCTTTACTTTTCATAAGGAAACACCATTTTTAATTTGTTCAGTTTAGAGTTACAGGCACTACATGTAATATTGATTTTTTTCTTACATGTGTGTTTTGCAAAATAAACATTTTTCCACCTCAGCTTACTATTGTTGATGTGAGGAGCAGCCATACTGAAGCACGAATGTTGGAGTTGCTCCACTTTCCCTTTGGGAAATCTGACTTCAGACAGCGTTCCAGTTGAATTTTCCGACCAGGAAATCGGAATTTCCCAGTTCTGAGTACAACTGGAACGCAGCATATCACAGCTATCATTTTCTGAGCTGAATTTTGAGATAATAAACATGTCTAGCTGTGTAAAAACATCCTGGTCAGACCACCTGAGAATGGTAAGAAGTTCCACTGAGTTCAGATCTGCAGCTCAGACTAATGTGGTGGCTTATGGTCAAAACAGAAAGCACAGCTTATGTTTTAGGCCTAAAGGAAGTAGGTAAAATATTTAACACAGCTGTATCATGTGATCTGAGGCTTTATAAAAAAGATGCCCAATGATCATCTCCAGCCTGTTTGTCATTTTTTACAGAAAAGCTGCGAGCAGTCAGAGTAACGCACTTTGGTTATGCTAACTGATGGATTAAGCTATAATTATTTATCCATGAGAATTTAGCTCAGCTTTAACTTCTCACCTGCCTTCCTTCATTTTCATTTGTATAGAAACAATGTGAAGTCACATTGTGATGGTGATGTCATAGTAGCTTTTTCATTTTCGAAGGAAATTCTTTAAGCTTGAAACACTTAACTCGACTTCCTGGTTTCCTAGAAGCTGGGATTTGGGCTGAGAGCTCATCTGGTGCCAGTGAGGCTCATCAAACCAGTGATTCTGCTGTTCAGCACTCAGTTCTGGCAAGCAGCTGATCTTAGACAAGAATCAGTGGGAAACTTCAACTACAGTCAGGAAATCAGAGCTGCTTTGTAGGCTTGCCTTCAGAAAATGAAAAGTCTCTAATTTCTGTTGTAGTTTAAATTTAACACAGAGAGACAAAATGTCAGTGAAAGATCCAGAAAATAAAATGCAATTTTGATTCAAATTTTCTTCAGAAGTATTTGATCAAAACCTGCTGTGGTGGAAGAGGTTGTTTGGAAGCACAGCGGCCTGCTGGACCATCAGCAGGTCAGACAGATCTGAGTAAGGAGCGCTAGAAACCTTTCAGCACTTCTTCTGCAGATCTGAGCTCTGGAAGCCGTTGCCATGGTGATGTGTTCTTGTCCATGCTTGGCTTGGTCATGGTTCAGTTTACAGCCCCTTACATTCATCCTGTACCTAGGGCTGAATATTCAATATCCAGAACTGCACAGCACTCTGGGAGATGTAGGCAGGGGAAAGGCTTTTGCTGCTCAACCTCTCACATTGGTGACATCAACCTTCTCACTTAATCTTTGGTTACCAAGCAACAACCTGTTGAGTAACTTGCGTAGCAGCTGTTTCAGATTTTGCCACCGTTCCTCATAACTGCTAAAAACTAAAAACAGTAACATGGAGTGAAAACTGGATAAAACAGGAAATTCACACCACCGGTTTGGTAGTACTTCAGATATTTAAAACAAAAAACGCATCAATAATAATTGATATCCACTGATATGAAGCTCTTACATTGTGACAGGTTTTTTTGCCGTATCGTTCGGCCCTACCAGCTCTCAGCAGGTTGAGTTGATGCCATAGAGCTTGGCTTTAATCTCAATATCTCCTCACCACCTGACACCTGCAGAATCAAGAGCCTGGTCATGTGCCTTCTCCATGGGGAGCTGAACTTTGACCTTCACTTAGTCAGTGTAGTGATTCCATTCCGCTGTGGTTCAGATGCTCCTGACCTCTCGTTTGTCATCCACCCGGAGGTGGGACCCTTCATGGAGCTGCAGACTGAACACACTGCATGGTCATTAATTGGCGCTACCTAGCAACCAAACTTCAGACTGAAGTTCTTGTCCCCTGATGTCCTCTCTGAGTGGGCTGCTGTCAGAAACTGATTCTGCAGACAGAAAACACCTGGGTAGTATCTGTTACTGATGGATTGATGAACTGATTGTAATCTGTGTGCCTTGTGGTCGCCCAAACTCCATCCGCTTTGCAGGGGATCAAATACTTCAGTGTTTCTGGGTCTATTCTGTGTCTGACTGTTAAATTAATCTACCACAACATCACAAACCATGTGATCCTCAGTAAGAAGGCAAACCTACAGAAACAGCAGAACTTTCTCTTATTTCCTGCTCTGGAGCCGTGGATGTGCGTCAGACTAGCATGCCAAACATGGAGCTGTCCAACCTTGCTGCCTGAGATCTGCCTTCAGGAAGGGAGGAGCTTGCATGGTCTTAATATGCTCTGTCATCATGATCCCACTGATCTACTCTCCGTTCATGTGTGTGTGTGAGTGAGTTTGTCACAGGCATGTAAATAGACGCTGGTATTTGTGTGTGAACGGGCTCGTGTCGGTAGCAGTGACACGGTGTTGATTGGGACGGCGACTAAAGATAACATTGTTTTAAGCCAAGTTTTTTAGTGTCCAGTTTTTGGTACAATTTCATATTGTAGTAATACACGGGAGTTTTCAAAAATTGTGTGAACATTAAGGCAGAAAAAAAAGGGTTTTAATGACATCTAGTGATGTACAGAATGCGCAATGCATTAGGAATATCTGTATGTACCTAAATATGTACCTTTCTAAAAGTAAAACAGTTAACTTTAAAGGAATTCTAGTTGCTCATGTTGAATTTACAAGTGTTGCTAACAGTGTATAGTATAAAGGGGCCAATCTTTGTGCAGTTTGTCATTGCAGCAAACAGTGCGGATTGCACCTTTATGAGCAGATTTTTCTCTCTGGTTGCAGGGCTGCGTTGGTGGGTGGGTGGAGGGGGCGGTCTCCCTCACCCTGCAGGGCTGCCTGTCATGCTGTGTGGTTGAATCATGTCATGTGGTCCTGCCTAGCTAAGGTGTTGATATGTAGCTGAGAAACACAGCAAAAGAAAAAAAAAAACTGTAATACTATTATTGCATGGAAGTTTTCTGGTTGTTTGGCCCACTGTAAATCTTCTGAGAGCTTGTACGATGAAATGCATCGGCCATGTACGTATGTAATGTAAGATGACTTGTATACTTGTTTCAGCTGTTTGTCTTCTTTTTTATTAATTCACATGTTGGTGTGGTTAAAAAACTCATTTTTGTATACTAAATACAAATGTATACGTAAAGAACATAGCTTGCTGTCGTGATTTGACATGATACGCAGAGGAATCAGTGTCATGTGTTTGACACGCTGCAGTGTTTTAAGGCAGTGCATGTGAGTGGTGAAGGGAGGAGTTTAATCTTCACTGAAAAGCTTTTTAAAATGTATGAAAACATTTTTTCTTCAGTCTGACATGAACTCAGAATATTTTCTGTTTTAGCTCAGTTACCTAAAATATTTCTGTTCGCTAATTGCCAGAATAATGAGAAGCCTGAACTAATCAACTAATTTAGTAATCAGTAATAACTGGACTACACAGTCTCTAAAATATGCTGCTGAAAGAACAAAAAAAAAGTCACCCATTGTTAACAGATCAGTCCTCCACTGTATTAATGCTGAGCTTTTCACGTTAGTAAGATTTAGCTGCAGATTCATCATTTGTTACAAATGATCCAGCATTCACTAAAAACAGTAAACAAGCATTTTTAGGCAATACAATTTTTAATGTGGTGAAAGGAATTAATTAGTTTATTTGCAATTTTAAGTATTTGCTATATTACCATTGTAATAAATAGACTAGGGTGGTTAAATGAAAAATCTGCAGAATGTGCCATTCTTTTATCCAATTACTTTATTGTCAGAATCATATATTTCTATCTTTATTCTGTTTTTTTAGAATAATCATATTATATTTTAATTGTCTGAGGGCTAATAGATAAGATCCCTTTAATCAGTCCAGTGTTGTTTTTTATGTTTTTATTTCACTGAGATCTACATTTGCACCTTGGATGTAATTTTCTGATGTTCAGAACCCCACAGACAAGGTAAGAAAAATGATTCAACAACAATAAACCCGTTTATTTTGGACCATCTGAATGTTTGGGTAAAACCCTGAGCTGTCAGCATGTCTGCCTCTGATCAGCTGGAAGTCCTGGTGATGTTCAGCAGGCCAGGTAGCCTCCGTCCACTGGCAGGGCCACTCCATTAATCATGCTGCTCTTCTCACTCAGCAGGAACAAGATGCTGTTCACCACGTCCTCCTCCTCTACACACACACACACACACACAAACACATGCATGTTTGTCACATTATCTTTGTGGGGACTTCCCATTGATTTCTACACACATTTCAGCCTCAAGCAAATTTCTACAAACTACATTCATTTAATCTATTCAATTTGGAGAAAAGGGAGAGAAAATTGAAACCAGAGAATTTTCTGCAAGTTATTTTATTTGGTAAATCAAACCTGCTGACAGTATGCAGCAGATTATTGAACTTGTCTGGTTGTGTGTACATTAGATGATCTTTGATTCAGATTCCACTCTAGCTTTTATCATTTGATGCTGATTAGTAAAATCAAGGATTATCTTCCCCATAACGCCCTTGATGTGGTTATTCATGCTTTTATTACTTATGTATTCCCTCCACTGGCTGCCCGTTTCTTTTAGAACCGATACTAAAATCTTGATTCAGTTTTTAAATGACCCATCTTTTCAAATCGACTTTTAATACCAGACAACATAACGATTAGGCCAGTTCTTGTTTGTTTTATAAAAACATTATGTAAATATCTTGTTTCAGCTGTAAGTCAAACTTAGTTTGTTCAGAAAACATTCAAATGATGTTTTAAACAGTTTTCTATGTGAAAATCAACAAGATTACATTTTACCATAAGAACAATTCTAACAGTTTGTTTCAGCAGTCTGGTCGGTGTTGGTATATTTCTCATAATGCAGTTGCAGGTGATTTCTGTATGGATACCGCAGAGGTTCACTAACTCATTTTCAGAGTTGTGATAATCATTAGATTTTCTAAAGTAATTTTTTTTGTGTGAAAATTGTAAAAATTTTAAAGAAATCATAAAAGGCTGTGAAGGATGAAGAGGACTTGCATACTGAAGTCATATTTCAGTTATTGAAGTGATAAACTGTCAGGATGAAAGCGAGTCCCACTCTGGTCAAGTTTCAGATAAAAGTACTGGTAAAATCTCTGAAAGCTGCTTGTTTAAGAACACAGATTACCAAACAACACTGTGAGCACACAAGGTTGTGACACAAGGTATCTGACCTGCGAAGCGGCCCAGGGGGATGCGGGACTTCATGGTCTGGGCTTTTTCCGGATCACTCCAGCCCAGGCGACCCATCTTTGTCATAACAACTGTAGGGTTGACGCTGTTCACACGGATCTGATCGGACCACAGAACAAGTTTCTGAGTCAGCACAGAGAGCAGCAACACACACACTGACAGGAGTTTCTGACATGAGCTGGGAATGTTTCTGTGTGGAAATAATATCAGAGGTCATGCAGAAAACTTTTTAAAAACTCCGGACAGTAACTGTCAAGTGTTGTTGCTAGGCAGACTGGATACATGCTGAATTTAGGCTTTACAGACAAAGTTATATTTAAGTTAAGGTTAAATTAAAGCTAAGAGGTGCTTGCCTATATATAGATGTTATTTAGAATATGCTGATACCTACTTTTTTGGATTAGAGGCCACTTTTGGACCTTTAATTCTAAAGTGGCCTTTTAGATTAGAGGTCAAACAGCTTCAGGAAACGAGAGAAAAAGAACAGCTGTCCTCTGATCAAGAAGAGTTCTCTGGAACTGTTCTGGTACTTAAAACAGACAGAGGTTGGGCTCCTTTAACAGATCCTTCCTGGAGGTTTGAGTGAAGCAGTACCTGATGGGGTCCAAGCTCTAGGGCCATCACTTTGGTCAGCATGTCCAGGGCTCCTTTAGTGGAACCTGAGCAAGGCAGAACGACACAGCAACTCTCACTGGAAGTGATTATTGGTACATCAAAGTTAGAATACTGTGAAAAAGTGCAATATTTCTGACCAGTTATCTCAGAAAGAAAAACTCATTATGTATTATAATCACATAAAATACAGAGGGATATTTCCAAAGCCTCTGTTGCTTGTCATTCTGATGATTATGCAAATTCAGTGTCTCAGAAAATCAGAATTGTGTAAAAGAAGAGGTCATTAATGGAAACTCCTGGTGTCAGCCCCAGTCAGCTGATTAACTAAAACACCGGCAGAGGTTTCCTGAGCCTCCAGGGTCACTCTGGGTCAGCAGGACATAATCATGGTAAGGTGTGGGGTGTCATGTTTTGCTGGTACTGGTCCACTGGGTTTCCACAGTCAATGCAGCGTTGACCAGGAGACAAGGTCGTGACCTTTGTATCTGACCTGCGAAGTGGCCCAGGGGGATGCGGGACTTCTAGAGCTCTTCATGCTTCATCTGCTGACCAGCTGGATGAAGTTGAACTACAAACTCCTCTGACCTTTAACCCCTTCAAACAACTCTGGGCTGTTTTGAAGAGGAAGATGAGAGACAACAGAAAAGCAACAAAGGAGTTGAGCAGAAGGCACCTATCACAACAACCATCACACCTACACAGAACCACCAACTGGTTGCCTCCATACCACGGCGCATTGATGCAGTAATTCATGGAAATGGAGTCCTGACCAATAATTGAGTGGACAGAAACATACATACCTTTCAGAATCCTGATATTTGCACTTAAAGCATCCGTTTTTATTGGTCTAATCTGATATTTTAGCGTTCTGAGACACTGAATTTTGGCTTTTCTTCACCTATGAGCCACAATCATTAAAACTGCAAAGGACAAAAGCTAGAAATATTTCAATCTGTGCAATGAATCTCTCGAAAATCAGCATTTCACTCTCTGAGAGGGCTGGCAAAAAATATTGCACTTTTATTTTATGCAATATTTCATTTATATTTCTTCTGTTTGTTTCTCAAAGTGTGGTGAAGGAGAAGACGGTGAATGTCAAGCTGTCTGTTCCTCACAGTAAACAGTATGATCCCTCAGGGCGCGCTGAGACGCTTGGCTGGACACGTTGACGATGGAGCCGCCTGACCCTCTGGTCTTCATCCCACCAGCCACCATCTACCACAGACACAGAAACAGATAGCTTCAGTTGTTTAGAGTAAAAGGATTGCATGGCCTATCTAACTATGTGTGTGTGTGTGTGTGTGTGTGTATTGCAGAGTTAAGCATTCACAGCCATCAGCAGTTTTGTGTTTTGCTACATGTGGCACAGCATAAAGTCCACCTCAGAGTGCCAGTGGCAGATGTTTTAGGGTTATTCTGAGGAAATCATTAGTGAGGAAGAATGTGAACAAAGTGTTTTGATGAATTCAATAAATTAATTTAATGTAGATGCACATTTGCAGCTGAATAAGCAGATTTTACTTTAGGGCTATTTTACCTGAGAAACGTGTAGCACAGCTTTTACATTCACGTTAAACAGCCTGAAAAACACCAACAGTTGGTTGATACCAGTAACTCAGTTCTTGTCCTCATCCTTTGACCTGAGCTTCATCTAGGAGAATAAAATGTTGTCATTCTGGTCTTACAGATCAAACTGGTCAGCCGTGACCTCCAGGAACGGCTGCAGTTTGGTGCAGGCGGCATTGTTCACCAGCAGATCAATGGGGCTGACGTCCTTCAGGGCAGCCTCGGTGGCAGCCCAGTCCGCCAGGTCCACACACACTGGGATGATGGCTGGACACTGGAGGAGGGCGAAGGAGGAGGGTCAGAGTATTTACTTTCAAGGTGAAAGCCAAGACAGAATGAACAAGAAGTCTGCAAACTACAGAAATCCAAACTGTGAGGGAGTTTGTATCAAATAAGGACGGGGATGAAGTGGTGTGTGTGTGTGGGGAGTCGCTACAGGGGGGTTACCTCTTGCACTAAACTGTCGAGGTCAGCCTGTGTCCGTGTGACTGCAGTGACCCGCGCCCCACAGCGTGCCAGAGCCAGAGCTGTGGCCCTGCCGATACCTGAAACGCAAAACATACATCATCATCCAAACTGAAGCTGCCAGTACACCCAAACACGTGCATGCACACACACACACACACACACACACACACACACA